ACATTTTTGGGGGTTACAGGCAAGTTATTTTGTGTAATATCCCCAATTTTGGTTTATCTGATGTTTCTATCATTAAATTCAGGTTATACTTTTTTGTTGGGAATATCATAGAAGTGATGCTACATTTCTCTCTTCGTCCCATCAAGTGGCCCATGCTATGCATATGTCAAAACTGTTAATTCACACCAATATTGCTATTCCAGTTCAACACTACAGGGTTCATTCTAGTTTTCCCCTTACCATATTTGTAACTCACTTCTCTGATGGCAAGAAGCTTAGTTTTCATTATCCTCAATGTATTTACTTATTTGCTCAATTCCCCTGTATGTAAACAATCTCCTAACCCTGTCCAGGTATTGCCCTGCTCCACCACATTCCTTCCTTGACCCTTGACCTGTGCTGGGCAGCTTTCCTCACTCAAGCCTGCCTTATGGCTTTTAACTGATGATTCAGGAGGAAAGGAAGAAAGGCAGGCAGGAAGGCAGATAGAGGTTTTACATATAAAAATATAACTAGAATATTGATCCAACTTCCATGATTATTGCTTCTTCAATAAATCTGCAAATTATTATTTTTTGCATTTTAATTATATCAGTCCTCAGGCAATAAACATCACTCAATAGTTTATATAAATTTTGGAACACTGAAGACAGTTTGAAGTCTTTTTAATCATTATTTTCAAAATGCCGAGTTAAGTGGGTTTGAAGCCAATTTAAATTCTAGACAACTGTTTGAAATGGGAAGTATTTACATGATTTAGTAATGATGGCAATTTTCCAGTAATGAAGTGTCATGCTTTTATTATTAAGAGTTGTCTGCATTACTCTTGTGGGGGATGAGCCAGACACAGAATTCAGCTTATCTGGAATTCTATCTCCTAAATGACTTGGAAAATCTAGGTAGAATATCCAGTTAGCTTAGTGTGATAAATGAGTTAAAACTGAAAATGATTATTGTCTCACTAAAGACTACTAGGATATCCAAGTTCAAAATTCATTGTATAATAAAATTATCTTTCTGATGACGGTGATGGTTTTATACTTAGTTGTTATGGATTGAATTGTGTCCCCCAAAAATATGTGTCAACTTGGCTAGGCCATGATTCCTAGTATTGTGTGATTGTTCACCTTGTTTTGTAACCTGATGTGATTTTCCTATGTTGTAAATCCTACCTTTATTATGTTAATGAGGCAGGGTTAGAGGCAGTTATGTTAATGAGGCAGGACTTAGTCTACAAGATTAGTTTATATATTGAGTCAATCTCTTTTGAGATATAAAAGAGAGAAGTGAGCAGAGAGACATGGGGACCTCATACCACCAAGAAAGTAGTGCCAGAAGCAGAGTGTGTCCTTTGGACCTGGGATCCCTGCACTGAGAAGATGCTAGACCAGGGGAAGCTTGATGACAAGGACCTTCCCCCAGAACCAACAGAGAAAGACTTCCCCTAGAGCTGGTACCCAGAATGTGGACTTCTAGCCTCCTAAATTCTGAGAGAATAAACTTCTGTTTGTTAAAGCCATCCACTTGTGGTATTTCTGTTACAGCAGCACTAGGTAACTAAGACATTAGTGATCTCTCCAGTTTGAGAGAGGAATGACCAGGGTTCTGAAATAGAATTGGTCCTTGTGGAGAGGCTGAGACTTTAGTCTTATTAGCACAATAACTAAGTGGTCCAGTAGATAAAAAGGCTAAACATGTTTACCAACAAAAACTATGAGACTCTAGAATGATTGTTCAAGCAGATCTTAAGTACAAGGAACCTAAAGTAGGTACTAGAAGAAGTCTTTGAGGGCCAAAATAGATGAAATTGATAAAGTTTGAATGAAGGTTATTCCAATGGAAGACAGTAGTACTTGAGAAAGCTAGAAGTTGGGAAAAACAGAAGCAGCTGAATTGAAGGTTAGACTTCTGTCCTAAACCACAGAAATGAATTGGGTGAAGGAAGTGTGAGTGAGTTCAGGGTTTCTACTCCTCACTTCTATAGGAAGCACTGGTCTTTGGGAATTACCAACAAAGTAGGCAGAGATGCCCTCTCTCATGCAGCTGTTTAGGTGTTTACGTAAAGTTTTCCTCTATTATGCAGAAGTTGTTATTGATAATTATGCCTTTTATCTGTATGGTAACGGTGTTTCCCAATCCATTGTGGACAGATACTTTTGTAAACTACAGTAAAAATGAACTACTAGAAAATTGAAATTAAAAAAAAAAGACCAGAGTTTTTATTATTAGAGTCAACAAACATAAAATTATCCAATTGGTGTAAAGTTTCTAAATGCTTTCTCTCAGTCTCTGACTTTGCTTATGGACAGGTAACAGGCAAACAGGCACTGGTCTGGAAAACACACTTTGCTTTGTACATCAGTACTTCTCAAATTTTAATGTATTAAAGAATCACCCTGGGCTCTCAGGTTATTTAGTAAGTCTGGGGTGGGCCTGAGATTCTGCATTTCTAACAAGCTCACAAGTGATGCCGATGCTGCTTGTCTGTGGACCACACTTTCAGTAACAAGGCTTAGTCTAAGGACTTTCACAAACTATTTTATTTTTTCTTCACAGTGATCTTTTGAGCTAAGAATTCGTATTCCATTTTACTCATAAATCAGGTTTTAAAGTCAGATTATTGAAATACAATTTACATACAGTAAAATTAACCCTTTTAGCATACAGCTCGGTGCATTTTGACAAACACATACAGTTGTGTACGTACCACCATAATCAAAATACACAACACTTCCATAACCCCAGAAGCTTTGTGGTCATGCCTTCCCCAGCCCCCAGCCCATGGCTCTTTTTGCTGTTCCTGTATTTTTGCCTTTTCCAGAAGGCCATATAAATGGAATCATACAGTATATACATAGCCTTTTGAATCAGGCTTCTTTCACATAACATCATGCATTGTTACATGTATTAGTAGTTTATTCCTTTGTATGGCTGAGTAGTATTTCACTGCATGGATATAACACGGTTTATATAATCACCCATTAAAGAACATTTTGATGGTTTCTGGTATTTGGTGATTATGAATAAAACTATAAAACTTCTATAAACACTTGCATACAGGTTTTTGTGTGAACATATATTTTCTCAGTAAAAATGTTGGCAGGTGATTCTTCTGATTACTACTACATAAAAACATGTGAGTCCAGTATGATGATTTCAAATACAGAGTATTTATAGTAATGATTAAAAAAGGCTTTCACGGACACATAAAAATTTTGATGAAGTTTGAAGGCTATTCCAAAGAAAGGAGATAATTCTTAAGAAGACTGGAAGTTGGAAGTAACTTAAACAGGTAAATTGGTTTCAAGATGATTTTACTAAACAGGCAGTCCTCAACTTGCAAACTCTAAGTTCACAAATGTCTTAAACATATAAAATGGTATGACCCGTTGCCTTCCGGCTGATTCTGACTCATAGTGACCCTATAGGACAGAGTAGAACTGCCCCAGAGGGTTTCCAAGGAGCAGCTGATGGATTTGAACTGCCAACCTTTTGGTTAGCAGCTGAGCTCTTAACGACTGTGCCGCTAGGGCTCCAAAATTGTATGAGGGGAGGTAAATTCAGAGCCTGAGTTCTGGCTTCTGTTGGAACAATACTGGTTTTGGTGATACAGAAGATGTTGAGAGAACCTAACCTACAATTATATGGAAGTGTCTTTTCTCCTGAAAATAGGAATATGAGGATAGTTTCTCTTAAGCAGATGTTGATGAACAGAGACTATTACAATTAATGACATCTCATTTGATTGGTACACTTGAGTACAAAGACCTTTCACATACAAAGTGGAACAGTCAGAGTGGTGACTCAGATATTCATATTCTTGGGCACTCTCGGGCCTAAGCCATGTCACCAAGTCTATACAGTTGAAACACAGAATCCAGATTAGTCAAACGTTCCTTTTATTATCCGAAGTTGTGCTGATCAAAGTTCTGTCCTATCTGGGTAATAAACCCCAAGCCTTGGAATCACACCCAGCTTGAGAGGGAGGGGCCTGAGCTTTTTCTAAGAAGTGTTGCTGTTAGATGCTTCCTATGATTTATCACGGGCAGATCAAGCCAAGCAAGCTTTTTACCAAGGTAGTATCTCTGTTTACTACTGCCCACCCAGATGGGATGGATGTTGATCCTTTCTGCAAAAGTCCCTTTAATTGCTTTAACGGATGTTTTCAGATAGAACTCCTCTGCGTCTTAAAGCAGAATTACCATACAAGATGTGTAACCACAAAATGTAAAACCTCCGAGGTTTTAGATACCATCTAACCCAATTCCCTCATTTTTGTGAGTAGAAAACTGGCCCATAGAAGTGAAGTGTCTTGCAGAGTCACACGAAAAAGTCAGATATCCGTGTGAGATAAGCTGGACGTGGCCCAGTTTCTAAGCGGAGAGAATCAGCTCTGGGCAGTTCCCAAGGCTCCCAGTCGGGAGGGTGGCTCTTCCAACAGCTCTCCAAATCCAACCAAGAGCCTTCAGATACCCTGCGTTTCCAACCCTCCCTACCCACACTGAAGCATGTGAACACTTTTGGTCTGAATTCATCCCAGGTGCTTTATCTGCATTTTGTGCCTTTGCAAACATTTAATGAAATAGTTGTTAGGTCTCAGATTTACGTGGGTCCCAAGTTCTGTAAAAGGGCTCACACTTTGTACCTCTTTGAAGCTGCTTTATTACGCTGAAACCCACGACTTTCTGGGGGCTCCTTCCTGGTATCCGCACCCCTGACAGCTGGACTCGGGACGGAGCAGAACTCGAGCCCCAGTCCCCTACAGTCCCTCCAGCTCTCCGGACATCAGAGCCCCACTCCGCAGCCCTTTTACTTCCACCCCGCGGTAGGCGGTGCCAAGCCCGTCCCTCCGTCCCCCTCGTGGAGGCGGGCGCGGGGCGAGCTCCTCCCCAGCACCAGCGGGGCGGCCACACCCTGAGCGCCCAGTAGGGCTCGGGTGGGGTCTTTGGCCTGCTAGCTGAGCGCCGAGCTGAAGCCTCGCCCCGGACGACGCCCAAAACGCAGTTCCGCCGCGGCCTACCCCCTCCCCGCCCCGGCCAGACCGGAGCAGCCGCGCGGGTCCTCGAAGTGACCGGGCCGCCTACAGCTCTCGCGCTCACTGCCAGGCCAGCGGCGCGCTCGGCCCCGAGCTTCCCTCCCCTGGGCCGCCCGCGCCTCCGCCACCATGCTGCGCTGGCTGCGGGGCTTCGCCCTGCCCGCGGCGGCCTGCCAGGACGCGCAGTCGCCCACGCGCTACGAGACTCTCTTCCAGCAGCTGGACCGCAACCGGGACGGGGTGGTGGACATCGCCGAGCTGCAGGAGGGCCTCAAGAGCCTGGGCATCCCCCTGGGCCAGGCCGCTGAGGAGGTGGGTTGCTGCCGGGGCGCGCGTCTGCGGGCTGGGAGGGGTTCGGAGTCTCCGGAGACGCTGTCAGGATGAAGGGGCGGCCCGAGGCTCTGCCAGGAGGAAGGCAGAACTGCGGTTTCCAGCCTCGAAGGGAGAGCCGGGGTGAGAAACTCCGGAATGGGGCGAGCGGCCAGTTACCCCTGCAACACGTGAAAGGCAACCGGTAGTTTTCCAAATAAAATTAGTGTTGTGAACACTCTGGCCCACGGGCACTGTTAAAATTTCATACCTTGTACCACAAGCACCTTTGGTCTGAATCCATCCCAGGTCGTTTGCCTGCGTTTTGTGTTAATCAGTCGTTAGCGCTCTGACTTCCTTGGGTCCCAAGCTCTGCAGAAGGGCTCAAACTTTGTACCCCTCTGAAGCCGCTTTGTTACACCAGCTACTTTTATCTACAGTTTCAAAGACGAGCGTTTTTGAAAAACCAATTATATATTTCTCCCAACTTCCTGTTGAGGAGGAGAGGCAACATTACATTCTTTCAGACGTTCTTAAGGTATTGCCCTGAGTACATAAATTGATTGGAAGGGTTGGCTGGTTGTTCTGAGTCATTTCAACTTATACATCCTATGAGTCATTTTAATTGTGCCCCTGAAGTTCAGCCCCCTTAGCAGGGTGGGGATATTTGGAACCTATCCAGCCCCACTGAATCCTACGAGGATTCTGTTGCATTCCCTCTCCAAAGAGGGAAAGTGATTAGATAACTGACTGTTAAGGGCCAACAACTGTTTTATAGTTATATTTAAAACTACTCTTTCAATGTCTTTAATAGTTAACAGGCCTAATCAGTTTATGATTTTTTTTCCTTAAGTCACATTTAATAAGTTATAATTTTTTAGGGAACTGCATTTTGTCTAAGGCTTATAATATTTGCTTATGATTTTATAAAAGTTTTGACTGATATTTCCATTCCTGATATTTATCTCTCTCTTTTTTTTCCTTTTCAATCTTGCCAAAGGGTTGTCAATTTTATTCATACTTTGAAAGAATCAGCTTTTGGTACTTTTTGCTGATCATCTCTGTATTTTATTATCATTAGTTTCTGCTTTCTTTGGGTTTACTCATTTGTACTTTTTCTAATTTCTTGAGTTGAATGCTGTTATGGATTGAATTGTGTCCCCCCAAAATATGTGTTCTAAGTCCTAACCCCTGTATACCTGTGGTTATAATCCCATTTGGGAATGGGTTTTCTTTTTATGTTAATGAGACAGTATTAGTGTAGAATGTGTTTACAGTCAATCTCTTTTGAGATATAAAAGGAGCAGATTAAGGGAGCAGAGATGAGGGAAGATAGATGCCATGCCACATGAAGATGGAACAGAAGCTGAAGAGACAAGGACCTCCCCATGGAGCCAGCAGAGAGAGAAAGCCTTCCCCTAGGGTTGGTGCCCTGAATTCAAACTTCTAGCCTCCTAACTGTGAGAAAATAAATTTCTATTTGTTAAAGCCACCCACTTGTTGTGTTTCTGTTATAGCAGCACTAGATAAGTAAGACAAATGTTTAACTCGTTAATTTCGAGCTATAAACAAAGAAAAACCCCAAGTCTGTTGCCATGGGTCGATTCCAACTCACCCCATAGGGTTTCCAAGGCTGTAATCTTTATGGAAGCAGACTGACACATCTTTCTCCCATGGAGTGGCTGGTGGGTTTGAACTGCCGACCTTTTGGTTAGCAGCTGAGCACTTAACCACTGTCCCACCAGGGCTCCTTAAAATAGTGCTTGATACTTAATAAGCAGTCAGTAAACTGTTAGCCATTAAATTAGCTGTTACTGCTACTACAGCCACCGCTGAAAGTGGGCGTGTCAAAATCTCCCTCTATGATTGGATTTATCAGCTTGTCTTTATAATTCTGTTACTTATCCCCTTTTATATTTTGAGACTATGCTGCCAGCTGTATGCAAGTTGAGAACTGTTATGTTGTCCTGGTGAATTGCTCCTTTCATCATTATGTTTTTTATCTACCTTTATAGCATAATTACCCCCCATATCTTTCAATGCCTGAATCATCACACCAACCAGGGTGTTCCCTTCAACCAGGATGTTCTCCCAGGTCACCACAAGCGAAATCTTCAGCGGTTGGGCTTCCAGCTTGGGCAAGGGATTATCCTTGCCCTGCATGGCACTCAGGGTAGAGTTCTCTTTGCCTGCTGGGCAGTGAGTGAGCCAGTCCCCAATCCCCATGCTACTGCCTCTTTTCTTGGATGACTCCTGGTGTCGCTTGTGTCTATTCTGGTCCTCTGATGAGCAGACACCAAGGTGGGATTGGGTGTGCAAAAGATTTGTTGGGAGAAATGCCTATGAAGGATAAGGGAGAGGGAACAGGAGTAGGCAGAGTCTTCAGACCATGGTGCAAGTTTGTTGTGAGCTGCCTCGAGTTGATTCTGACTCACGGTGACCCCATGTGTGCAGAGTAGAACTCCTCCATGGATTTTTAATGGTGGTGACATTTCAGAAGCAGATCACCAGGCCTGTCTTCCAAGGTGCCTCTGGGTGAGTTTGAACTGCCAACCTTTCAGCTAGTGGTTTAGTGTTTAACAGTTCGCACCAGCCAGGGACTCCTGATGCAAGTTTAACAGCTATTAAAAAAGTGCAAGAAGGAAGGATTGATTTAGGAAGAACTTCAGACCAAAGCACAGTTCTGAGAAGTCTCAACTAATCTAATGGGGCCTCACTGAGGAAATGTTATCTGTTGGGGGAATCCTGCACTGGCTGCCTGGCACTAGTAGCCTGCTGCGCCTAGTCATTGGTTGGAGCAGTCTCAGGCAAGCATGGACTTGGTGTGAGTGCTGTAGTGGGTCCAGAGCTGTGGCAGAGGTAGGCTGTCAGTCAACTTTGTTCCTGAAGCAGGTTCTCTTGAAGGACAGTCTGAGCTGTGCAACTGCCTGGCCACCATAGACCACTCCTTGCACCACATAGACCCACTTCTTCATGCAGCTTTGAGGGGCAGCTCCTTCTTGGTTCTCATGGGCCTCTCTTCCTGGGAGGAGACTTAGAAGAGGGAGGCCAGTGGAGTGAACTACAGTCCCCATCACTTCAGCTGGTCACGATAGTTACTCATCATTTATTTCTTTTTTCCACAATTATTTTAAATTGCACCCAACCTTAGCTATCATCTCTGTGAGTCTTTGTGGCTTACCTGTTGGTGTGACTCAAACTTTCATTCCTGAGGAGTCTGAGCTACTCAAGCTGGTGTTGCTGTATGTGCACGTTCATAGTTATAATTGGGTAAGGAAGTATTAGGAGGCATCCACATAGGTCACCTTGGTTCCCCATATACTCTTTTCTGTCCCCATTGTATAAAAGCAGCCCTGCCTCTTTCTGATCAGAGTCAGTTACCCCTGCCAAGATGGTAACTCCTTGCCTGTTGGTCCCTAGACACAAGGAGTTCAAAATGCCCAGATGGCAGCCATAGCTTATAGTTCAGTGAGACCCTTGATGTATCCCCTGGCAAGAGTACATCCCATTTGGGGACTAGGACCTCTGACTCTACGGAACCCAAAGTTGTGGGGACAGAAAGCAAAAATTCCCCCAGTGGATAATTGTGAATAATGGTAAGTGGGGCCACTGTTCCACCTTATGGTTCCTGGACCGATATGTTCTTCCTTTTGAGATCACAGAGTCATATTAAAAAACAAACAAACTCATTGCCGTTGAGTCGATTCCAACTCATAGCAACCCTATAGGATAGAGTATAACTGAGCCATAGGGTTTCCAAGGAGCAGCTGGCAGATTCAAACTGCCCACCATTTGGTTAGCAGCTGAATTCTTAACCAGTGCGCCACCAAGGCTCCACAGAGCCATACAGAGGTCTCTAATTTAGTGCATATACTGCATCATGAGGATGATACCTCATCTTGCTGAATATTGTGTCCTGGGTCGTGCTTTGTGCTTTCAGTAGGTCATTTCAGCATTCTCTGAGGCCAGCTGCTTCTGGGTGGTGTGGTGTGTGATACAACCAGTGGATTCCTGGTCACGGGCCTACTCTGTACGTCTTGTACTGTGAAGCAAATCCCCTGGCTGGATGCTACATAATGGGATTTCATGCCCGGGAATCAGGTATTCCATAAGCCTCCAGATACTCGTGCCAGCTGTGACTCTGCAGGCAGGAAAGGGAAGCCTATACCTGGAAAAGGATGGGTGAGGATGAGCCATTGGTCCTTTAGGACAGAAACCAAACCAAACCTAATCTGTTGCCATTAAGTCAATACCGACTCATAGCAACCGTATAGGACAGAGTAGAACTGCCTCATAGGGTTACCAAGGAGCAGCTGGTGGATTCAAACTGCTGACCTTTTGGTTAGCACCCAAGCTCTTAACCACTGTACCACGAGGGCTCCTTTAGGACAGAAGGGGCACATTATAAATGATTTGCCACCAAGTGGCCAGTTGGTCGCCTTGAGGAATTGTGCTATATCAGGGGCTCAGTGTTGGTCTTTTTGCTGGCAGGTTTGACATTCAGAGGCAACAGAGTTAGATTGATCATGACGATTGAGGGACCATGCTGTTGGGCCCATGTGTAACCTCTATCCTGCCATTATGGCCACCCTGTAGTGCACAGTGGCCTGTGATGAATGCTGGTCAGCATCAACTGGTCAAGTCATTTGATCTGTTTGTGCCTCTTCTATGGTAAATGTTTTCTGGTGGGCATTAATATATGATACCAAAGTCTTTACCCAATGTGCCCATTCCCATATATCTATCCATATGCCGCTACTCTAGACCTCCTTGTCTTTGATCTTCCAGTCCTTTTCATCTGCACCCCTGATCAGCTGGCCAGAACATTGGCCACTGCTCAGTAATCCATAACATTCTCACCTTGGGCCATTTTTCCTTCCACACAAAGTAGATGACTGCCCATTGGCAAGATTTTCCTTCTCTACCTTCTTCAGGGCCTCTCCTAGATGTTGCTGTAATGCAGCTGCTTTCAGCTTTTGGATTGCAGCCACATACTGAGCCAA